TCACTCTGATTTTTAAGCTTCCTCTCTCTCTCACACACACACACATTTTCAAATATTTTGATATATAATCTTTTCATGATACCATTAGGGATAACAGAAAATATTATTCCCAGTTCCTAAACCACATCCTGAAATTTATACACACATGCATACACACACACACACACACACACACACACACACACACACATCAACACTCCATCCTCATCCCATATTTATTTTTACCACCTACTGTGGATCTTTTGGTTAAAGCAGGAAACTATTCTTTCAGGTTAAAAAAAATATATGTAGAGGAGTGGAAAGATGGCTTAGAAGTTAAGAGGGCTGGCTGGCCTTGGAGATGACCTAGGTTCAGTTCCCAACACCCACATGGCAGCTCACAACTGTAACTTGAATTTCAGAGGTTCTGAAGCCCTCTTCAGGCCTCCTAGGGAACCAGGCATGCACATGATGCACAGACATATATGCAGGCAAAACATTTACACATATGAAAAATAGAAATAATGTTCCCAGGGGATCAACAGCCTCTTCTGACCTCCGTGGGCATTGCACGACACGGGTGCACATACCTACATGCAAACAATACATGCATACACATAAAATAAAAATAATAAGTAAAATTTAAAATAATAAAATTTTTAAAACATAGAAATAAATTTCCTAAAAAGAAAATATATGTGGGACTGGAGAAATGGCTCAGGGGATAAGAGCACTGGTTGCTCTTGAAGAGGACCCAAGTTCGATTCCCAGCTCCCACATGGTAGCTAACAACCATCTGTAACATCAGTTCCAGGGGATCTGATGCCTTCTTCTGACCTCCACGGGCATTGCACAACATGAGTGCACTTTTACACATGCAGGCAATATATTCATACACGTGAAATAAAAATAATAAATAAAATATGTAAAAACAAAAAGAAAATATAGGTAGAAGCTAAATGAAGTATCTGTTGGAATAACTGAGGACAGTTCAGTCATGAGGTAAAGTGGGAGGGGCTAAGTTCATTCAAGACAAGATGCATCCATTTAGGGTCCATGGAAGGGGAGGCAGAATTGTATAAAAAAGGTATCATCCACATTGCACCTTGACTCCCCTACAGCCTGAGTAACTCCAATTTCCCTGATCCCATATCCTGTTCTCCTTCTAGCCTTGGGCACAGGCCTGCTTTTGCTCTTAGCACCCCACATCTCTGGACTACCTTCTTAGGTCCACGTGGTAGTGAGCTCTTCAAATGGTGCCATGCCCATCCCCCTACGCTGGAACTATCTGCAGCCCTCCCACTACTGCCGTTTAACAGGTGCCCGGAACTTTCCAGACTGCTTGAAAGTGCTTGAATCCAGCCTCCGGGTGGTGGTGAACTTTCCAAATCCTTCGAATCCCATCCCCCTATATTAGGACCACCTTCAGCCCCTCCCACTTCTGCAGGGCTAGGCTTCCCTGCTCTTTTATAGAGGCCCTGATATTTGCAAACTGCCTAAGAATACCTGAGTCCAGCCTCTGCCTAGCAAGCTTCTGCAATACTGCTGTGCCTCCTGACTAGAGGGGCCCAGAGCTGAGAGAGAAGCCTGAGAGCATCTGACTCTCACCTGACTTGGGCCTCTTTGGGAATTCCTGTGTAGTGGGACTACAGCCATCTGGTCCCAACAATATAAAATCAAAAGAGAGAACCTGAAACCTAGATTAACCAGCTTTTATACCCAATAAGAAAACAACCAAGGCACATCAAGTATACAAACAGAATCAGACTTCAACTCAACAAAGGAAGGCTTGACTCTCCCACCAGAATCACAAACAACAAAAGAAATCCACATGCCACAAGAACAACAAAATAATAATATGAAAAACCCAAATAATATGTTCCCACCAAATACTACCATTTCTATAGAAGAGTTTTACAATAAGAACCTCATAGAGTTAACCCAGGACACACAATTTAAATGAACAATCATAAACATGATCGAAGAATTCAACAAATTTAAAGAGCACACAAACAAATCAAAGAACTAAAAGTAAATAAGAATAAACTTTTGATTAAATTAACAAAAGAGAGAGAAATATTGAAGAAAACTCATGCTGAAATGAAGAAGGAAGTAAAACACTCAATAAGCCAATTAGAAATGACAGGAGAAAGTCTCGCCAATAGAATGAATGAAATGGAAAACAGAGTATCAAGACTGGATGATAAAGTTGAAGAACTGGATCACTCAAGCAAAGATTCTGAAAAATTTTTAAAACTCAGGAATGGAATATACAGGAAATGTGAAACATCATGAAAAGACCAAATTCATGTATCATAAACATAGAGGAAGGAGAAGAATTTCAGGTTAATGATATTCAGATCTTCAACAGAATTACAGAAGAAAATTTCACAGAATTAAAGAAAGAGATGCCCATACGAATATAAGAAGCATATAGAACACCAAATAGATAGGACCAGAAAAGAAATTCCCCAAGCATATCATAGTAAAAACACTAAATATACAGAACAAAGAGAGAATACTGAAAACTGTAAAAGAAAAACAAGTCACATATAAAGGAAAACCCATTAGGATCACAGCTGACTTTTCAATGCAAACTATGAAAGCCAGAAGAGCCTGGACCAAAGTATCCCCAGTGTTAAATGACCACAGATGCCAACCCAGAATACTTTATCCAGCAAAAATGTCCATTATAGTTGAAGGGGAAAGAAAAATCTTCCATGACATGAATAGGCTGAAAGCATTCACGTCCACAAAACCAGCCCTTCAGAGAAGTCTTGTTATGCATGGTGGTGTACACTTTTAGTCCCAGCACAGAAGCAGGTGAGTTCACAGCTAGCCTGGTCTATGGTCTACATAGCGAGTTCCAGGCCAGCTGGGGCTACAGGAAGATGAAAGAGAGAGAGAGAGAGAGAGAGAGAGAGAGAGGAGAGAGGAGGGAGGGAGGGAGGGAGGGAGGAAGGAAGGAAGGAAGGAAGGGGAAGATTTATATATGAAGATTAAGATGACTGGATGTTTCCAGAATGGAAGGGATAATAATAACGTTTGAGCAAGTGAAGAAAGTCTGAGCAGGTTTACTAAAAACTGACTGACTAAATAATGCCAAGCCGGGAAATGCTTTAAGTGTTTGTACTACAGGCAGGTGCATGACTAGCACATCAAACTGAGAGACATTAGAAAAATTTGGGAGGGGGGGCAACAATTTTGTTTGGTAGATAAGACAAAATTTTTGCTAAGAACATTTGGAAGCCAGGATGGTGACACAAACCTTTAGTCCCTGCAAATGGATCACTGACTGGGATGATTTGAAGAGCTAATTTACAGTTATGCTAGAGGTTGAAGGGAAGCTCCTTGTCAGACCTATCTTTTCCAACCTGAGGTAAGGCTCCTGTCAGCCCTATCCTTCCCAACCTGATACCATAACTGACAGCAGCATACAGACTTGTCTCCTAGGAGAGTTAGAAGGACTCATTTTGGTTTCTGGGTTCAGTTAGGAGGAGCAGAGCCCTGGATCATCTTCAGGGCTTGCTACAGTAGTTATTTTGGTTATACCTTAGCAGTCATTTTGGTTATATTTCTAGACCATAGTCATGGTTGTGAAAAGCCCTGGATATTTTTCTTGGGGAGGCTAGTGGCTGGCAAAATGTCAAAGTAGTGCCTGGAGTCAGGACTGGCCCAGGACAAAATGGAGTTTTTTCCTGCTACTTCAGAAGCAAATGTCATCATTTGAGAGCTCAGCAAGGTGAAAGAAGTCAGTGTTGGCCTGATCCTGGTGGAGCTACTTCATTTTTTTCTTCCAATCAGCCAGCTGGGAGAGTGCCCATGACAACGCTGTGCTGCCCATCATAGCCAGACACTTTGCAAACTGAGCTGTGTTCAGCTCTAGCTCTTTCCTGCAAGCTCTGCTCCTTAACTGTGTCTCCTAGAGCTTCTCCACAAAGTAAATGTCATTTACCTTGCTGATGATTTTGCTGGTTGCATCTGTAATTTTGTTGTATATCCTGAGGAGACTAGCACCACTCAATGTCTGGGTACTCACAACACAATCAGCTCTTCTTTTTCCAAAAACTCCCTGATATCTGGGCCCTGTAACATGATGGGATGTTGGGGAGAAAGTCTTTCTTCTAGAAGTTTTCTTCTAGAAAGTTTTTCAGATTTTTCAGGAGATGTGACATAAGAAAGAAAGTGGGGGAAAAAAAAAGGAGAGATGACTAAAGCAAACCTGTTCTCAACAGAACCCCAAATGATTATCACATAGTCTTCACCAGGTAGCCTTAGGGTTGAAAAGTATCAAGTGCTTTGTTCGTTCGTTTGTTTGTTTGTTAGGTAGGTAGGTAGATTCTGACCCATTTTTAAAATGTTTTAACTTGAAACAGGTTGCACTAAATTTCACAGGCTGACCATGTAGTGCAAGCAGGCTCTGAACTTGTGATCTTCCTAACTCAGAAATATCACAAATCGCAGATTTTTCTTAGTGGAGGTTACTATTTTACTGTGGTTCACAATTGTTTGCCCTACACTTAGCCAAAAAATTCAGATCACATGCGGGGTTGGGGATAAAGAAATGTCTGTCTCACCCTTCCATTTTCAGAAGCCACAAAGGCCTTTC